AATATATATATTTGTTCGCGAATCATTATCAAACAAGTTTAATCCTCCTTTGAGAATGCAACTGAAACAAATGTTGTTATTTTTTTTTCTCTGAATATTTTTAAACAGAATAAAGTAAAGTATAATAATTTTATGTTTTATAAAGCTTTGTATTAAAATAACTTGCATCTTCAAAATGAATCTTAAAAGACTCCTTGATATTTATTTTAGCATGGTAGTTAAGAAATATTCTTTATTTTTCAATTAATGGGAAAATATAATAGGTTTTTATTTTATTTTTTAACTCAAATAAATTGTATTTTAATAGAATTCAAATGTTTAAAAGGTAATGAAAGAAATTATGATGTATAAAAAATAATAAAATATGAATTCATCAGCTGATTAAAATTTAGAGGGCTAAGTAAAGATGTGCCAAATACACAATAACGAAATAATTGCTGTAAACCTTGACTCTTCAATAACTGGAATTATTACACATTTGTGTAATTAATGTTTAATTGATAATACAAATAATAATAAAGTATTAACAATTTTGCAAGCAAAAGAACAAATAGCATCAAATAAGAAATAAAAGTAACAAAGAAGGAGGAATGAAATTGAAATAATATTAACATAATTAAAAAACCTGTTTTAAAACATAGAGTAATTCAAATGTAAGGTTAATACTAATTTGGATAAAATATCAAATGAATTGTCCAAATAAATTAAGCTTAAATTACAAGAATTATCATTATCACAAAATTGTTTAGCTTAACATAATTTTTGGGAGGATGTTCAATTATTATCAGAATTTATATCGAATTAAGAAGAGTAAATGGAAATTTACTATTTGAATGAAATGTAAATTTAGTTTTAGTAAATTTCATTTGATATAGACTACCTGTAAACAATTGAAGCTTTTAAAAATGCTAAAATGATAATAAATTAATTCAATTTAGATAATTAAATTCGATTAGAGCCCCCAAAAGTTGAAAATAATACAGTAAATTTTTTATATATTTAGAAAACATTTAGTTTAAGTACACTTTGTAAAGATCATATAAAGGAAGTAATTTTGTTTGACATAGATTCGGAGAATATATTACCAGAAAAACGATTAGCTTGTGCTTAATGCTTTAGTAATGGCACCTCATAAAAATATAAAACGATTGAACAAATAAATGATTTATCGAATAAAAAAAGTAAAAGGTACAATAAGATAGACTTGCTAATCAATAAGCGTCAAAGAAGTAAAATAAATAAAAAAAGTTAAATGAATAAATTGCCTCAATCAATAAGAATTACTATTAGCAATTAAATTTAATTACTCATGCAAAATTTTTCTAACCAAATACATAGCCAGGTGAGACTAGTAAGTTTAAATAAACTCCATTAATTTTTTAAATGATTAATCAAGTATTATGATTCTAATTTTTAGCTGATAGCCAAATCTTAGAAATTAAAGAGCAATTACAAAAATTTAAGCGAGGTGAAATTTACAATTAGAACAACAGATAAGAATACAGGATTTAGATGATTTAATACATTCTTCAAAATAATTATATTGTTAGATGGAATTGCTAAATTTAACTAAAAATTAATTTTAAGAGCATGTGAAAAAACTTAATTCTATTCAAAAATAAATAGCAGTATTTTCAAATCATTAGGATGTAACCAATATAAATTTAAGCACTTGATGAATATGTTGAAAAATTCGAAAAGAACTTTCAAAATTTGAAGAAATATTGTGGAATGGACGAATTGATTGAATCTTTAAAATCAGAGAACAAGAATATTGTCAGTAATTTAGAAAATGAAATGAATAGCTAGGTAGAAACTAAGGAAATACTAATTAAGAAGTTAGAATCAAGATTAGATAACTTAGGATTAAATTTATAACTTGATGTAATTTTTACTCAATAGATATTATGCTTTTTAAAAAATCATTAGAGTCCTTTTTAAAAGTTGTACCATATACTACTTGATTGCAAAAGATTCAAACCTTATAAATTTTGTTTCTAATATTATCCAACAAGGAGCCTACATCAATTTCTTTTCATTATACTTTTAGAATACTTCCTCTACATATTCAATCTCTTCTTTCTTTTAAAATTTTTCACCATACTAGAATATTCAATATCCTTATCCTACTATTCTTCTGCCACCTACCTACTCTATTGGTGAATATCTAAATAATACTAGATATTAATCTATTAATTTTCTTCTCGCTACTCTTTTCTTAAACTTCATATAAAAAATAATATTGAGATCGGCTTTTAAACATAAGTTTTTCTTTTGTATGCATTGCTTCTTAATTTAGTTGAAGTTTATTGTGTATTTATCATCAACTTTCGTAATATTAATTAATAACCAAATTATTTCTTAGACTAATATATTATTAATTTAGCTCCTTGCTATAAACCGGTCTGAACACTTCTGAAAGAGTCAAGATTATATTTCTTCTTAAGTGATCATGAGCAAATACTAGGGTAGAATCCATTCTCTTTGTATAAATAGAAATTTATTAAACTTTGATGTAAAATACATAATTTCTTGTTATTTAAATTCACCCTACCAATAATAAGGTCAAAAAATGCGCTGACTTTCATTGATAGAATAATTATCCAAATTTATCTCTATCTTTCCCTTTAAATCAACATCTAACAAAGAGAAGGATGTTAAACTTATCAAAAGGCATTATAATGTAGAAGATTACAGTTTTATGGTATACTGTTCATTTTTTTCTGGCTTCACTACTTGCCAGTATCCCAATATCATCTTCTGATAAAAGAACATTATTTTATTTCGAATCTCTAAATTGGTTTTTAAGGATTCTCTAATTCCTAACGATCCACAAACCTTTTTAGCATACTTTAATAATTTAGAGATTTTTGCCATTGATGTAATTAGTTTTAAGTTTCTAATGTTTAATATATTCAGAAAGAGGTATCCTCATCTTTTGTCATGGTTAGGTAGTCCTTATTATTGAGCCCCAAAACCTATATAGATTTATGAACTACTAAATTCAAAATATCATTTATGACTGTATCTTAAATTTTTCTTTTATTTATTGATTTCAATTAAATTAACAGATGACAATTCTAGAAGATAGGTTTGATAATTAGATAAAATGGTTAAGTTAAGAACGTCTAATTAATAAACAATAAAACATCATATAGGTTTGCATTCTGACATTTTATATTTCCCTTCAAAAAAATATCAAAATGAAATCACTGTTGCTACACTTGTTTATTTAATCAGAATCAAAAGTTTTATTTCAAATGCAATAATTCCTTCCCCGTTTTCTATCCCTCTTCTGAGTAATATAATCAGAATGTAAAATACCCCCATTCATATTTTATTTAAGTTACAAATCAGGATTCTCTTTAAATAGGGGATAGAAAATTTAAGGTTTTTCGAAAAAATTACTTTATTCTCCAATTTCTTAATTTCTGTATTTATTTTATTATATAAAGATTTATGTTCAAATTCACTCTCCTGTAGTTTTTTATGTTAATTATTATCCTAGTCAATAATTTTTTCATTCATATAGAAAAATTGATACTTCCTTCTATGGAACTGTTTATTATATTTGCTCACCTCTCTTATAATAATCAAAAACACTTATATAAAATTCTAAGAGAAGATGGTTTTGACAGATAATTATCTGAAACGAATTCTTCTATCTAGCTGAGACTTCAAAGTTTATAAAAATGGAAATTATTGTCAAATAATAAATATAATTATTTGTTAAAATTTGTTGATACAGGATGCTTTAATGATATTATTAAGAATTTCCTAGAGGGTCTTTGTTGCTCTATGGGAGGCAATTCAAATTCTCATTTTAAAATATCATAAAATTTATTTATCTCCTGTAAAATTAATACTCGTCTCCAAACAAAGAGAAGAAAAAGTAAAGGGGAAATCTAGGATGGTATGATAATTCGCATTACGATTACAATCAAAATACTATTTGCATTCTATTCAATTCAAGTAATAAATTTTAGATGTTCGATTTTCTAATACAAACTGTTTAAGTTTGCTTAACAACATAATCAAAATGATGTAAAGGTTATTATATTACTTAGGATTAAAGGCAAGCTCCTTTGGATTTAATAATATTATTTATGTTATTCGTGATTAGTTATTTATAAAATCTATTTTCTGGTATTTCAAAATAAGAGCTTCTTGAAATTATCAATAATAAAATTTTACCTCTAAAATTTATAGATGTAAATAAGAGTGTAGTAAATCACACTTTTTTATGGAACACCATTTTAATAATTAAATTGCATTTTCTAAATTTAAACTACCAATTATATTAGATATTGAATCATGTTTTGAGCAATAACCAGTTTGAAATTATATATAGATACAAATACCTCTGGTTGATGTTAACTCATATACAGGTAATATTCTAGTGACAATCTAAGATTCTCAACTAAGTTTATATCCATATATATATATCAACAGGATCAATTATCATTCAAGATTCCAATACAACTATACATTATTTCATTACTATACAATATAAAGCATGACTAAATCCTTTATTATCTAGATGGTTAAGAAACAATTTATTAACTAACTAAATTTTTAATGAATATTCAATCAAAAGTCCTCAAGTTGGTCTGGTTCTTAGAGACCTAGAGAAATTTGATAGTTGCTAATTGAAAGAATTCTGACGTCTATAGAATTAAATTAGAGAGTTTAAGGTACTTGAGTTCAAAGTGGTTGCCTTTCTAAAATCAATCTTCAAGATAGGAAACCTATAGCCTTTAAAACAATAATCTCTGTTTAAGGAGTAGAGATTAAATTTTGCTAAATTGGATTATATAGTTTGACTGCATTCCCTTAAATATAGAAAATACCATTCATTTAAGAATATTTTGTCCAAGTGAGATAAATTGATAAGAAAAAGAAGCCTTTTGTCTAGGATTATTTATTGAATCTTATGTTTTTTAAAAAGTAAACCTTAAAACACTATTTTAAAAAATAGGCATTCAAATTTAATAATCAGTTATCAAAAAAATAATAGGTGGTTAACTCAGCAATTATCAGAAAGATACTTATCTAATTCATGCGATATTAGTTTGAAAAACTCAATACTTGCCAAATTTTGTACTAGATTATAAAAGAGCCATAATTTGTAGGGAGATTATTTTATCTATTAAAATTGTATCCTTCCTTTTATCTATGTCACTATTCCCTTTCTGTTTTAAAGTATGAAGAAAAATGTATTTCGATTGTAATTGTGAGAGACAGATAATTTTATACTATATTAAATTGAACAATTTTTTTCTTATCGATTTTCTTAAGTGTAAATTATAGACCATACCGTTGATGCAAAAGTTAGAAATTTCAAAGGGGTATATAAAAAAATTGAAAGATGTCTAAAGAAGAAATATGTCAAAAATGGGATTCTCTTTTCTAAATATTTAAATTATTTTAATAAATATGAGACGATCTGTAAAGAAATAAGATTATCTTTTCATCTTATATTTACTCTTCATATAATGAGCTTTACTTTAAATATTTTCCTTCAATAATTAATAGAACTCAAAAAATTACACTACTCAAAGGAATGTTACTTTTTTAAATCGCGATTGATTTAATAATAAAATATAAAGAACTTATGAATATTGTTTATTGCTACCGATTTTTTAATAGGCATTTTTTATGAAATTAAATCGCAATTTATCTTAAAAAATTATTAATCATCAAAATCCAGAAAAATAATCGAATTAAATTGTAAATTTTGTGAAGTATAAAACCAACCTTGCTTAATGATTTTTGGATTAAAATTTTATTTTTTATAGGAGAAATCAAAAAAAACGATAAAAAGTTTAACTTTAATATTTTAAGGTACAAGAAATGGATTCAATGGATAATCTTATTGGAAAGAAATCAATAATAAAGACAATTTACTCATGATTTTTCAATCAAAAAATGATTATATCTTTGGAGCTTATTCTCCTTGTAAGTGGGTATCTAATCTAAATAATTATGTGCAAGATGATACACTATCATCCTTTATATTTTCATAAACTCACAATTAAATTTGTCCTTTGAAGTAAGATAGAAGCAATATGCAATTTATTGTAATTCTAGTTAGGGACCTGCATTTGGATCTGGACATGATTTTTACATAGGTGTTAATTTTAGTGATGGTTATTGTAAGTTAGGGAATTCATATGAATTTGATAAATATCAAAATTAAAGTGAAAATCCTCATTTATTTGGATAAATTAAACCAGAAATAAAGGAATGTGAAATATATTAAGCATAATTTATTTGATATAATATATTATTAAACGTTATCGTTAATGATCATATAGAATTAAAATTAATCATCAATTTAAATTACAATTTTCTAGTATTGTAATTAGTGATTTTAAATCATTGTTAATAGATGGTTGATGATCATATAGTTATAAATCAGAATGGTAATATAAGTGAAGAGATCCTTAGATTGAATTTGAGAACTGATTGTCGTAACAAAATTAATTCATACAGGAATCGATCCTTGATTTATTATTTTCTTAAAATATTGAATATGATTATCTAGAGATTAAAATTTAATAAATTTGTATCATTATTTATGTTTGTAGTTTATTTCAAATTAATTTTAACTTTAGCCACTTGAGGTAAGCTTGGCACAAGCGACTAATTGAAAGTGCCACTCTCATTTTAGATTTGAATAAATCTAATTACTTTTAAAGCATAGCCTTTAAATAAAATTCAAGTTGACACCCTTATACAGCCTTGATTGCCATTATAGCTTTCAATAACAATAATCAAAAGATTTAGGATTTCATATCTTATCATAATATATATCGGTGAATACTCAAGGCAAAAAAGAAAATATTAGAAAATTTGATTAGAGAGGGTGTTATTGAAGATGTTTTCGCTTTCAAAAGAAATTTTAGTAAAACCATATTACTAAGAATTGCATCATTAGTCATATTAAATTTTTTTAAAGAGTAATTGCAAAATTTTAAATAGCACATTGTTTACTTGTTCTTGATGCAAAGTAAATTTTTTCTATGGGATTTGATAAAAATATTCCAAATGAGTTAAAGCATTATTCATTAATCTGAAAAGTAGTATTGAAAAGAATAAGAGGCATTTGAATAATATTCTATTTTCATTTTGTCTCTAATTCTTTTAAACATGAATCTGATTATTAGGAATAAAATACTTTTCAATTTCAATATTCAATAATAGAATTAATAGTTTAACTATTTTCATAAAATGCCGACCTGTTCAATTGATTTTGATCTTAAATTTTTTACTCTTACAATAAGTTATTATTTTGAAATTGATATTGATTTCAAATTAAATAATATAAACCTATTAATAAAATGAGTAGTATTGATTTTTAAAGTCGAAATTTTAAATACTTTCACCTAAATGATTTGGCGATTGAAATTAATTTAATTAAGTTATATAACTAGACTTAAAAAAAATTTAATGCTTAAAAACATACTAACCCAACCTAATTCACGCTTTGAAGGAAGTATGGCCAACCCATACTTTAGTTTATTTCTTTATTTTAATAAAAAATCATGACTCATTAAATTGTCATTAGGTTAGAGATGAAACAGGTTAAATTAAACAAAAGGATCACACTTAATTGAATGAATCCCATTCCCAATTTTGCCCATAATATTTGAAAGCATTCTTATCCTTCTACGTCAAAATTCAAGTCTCCTTTTGGTCTTATACTCTCTCTCAAATATTGATTGAGGATAATTTTCTATCTAAGATTCTATGTTTTTGATCAAAAGATCAACTATTATTTAAACTTCCAAATAGTGTACTAATAAACTTAAAAGGCACGCCAGTTGAATGGTATTGGTAATTCTCCTAAATGTTACTTCTTTAAGGTTGTTTGGTTTAAAACAAGTATTTCTTTAAAAATGATCAGTTTAATTGATTCATAGAATATTCTTTTTTGATTTGAATTTCTCTCCCCCTTATATAATTTTTCTAACCCAAGTCATTGGACTTATAATATGTCTGTGGGATAGGTCTCTAACGAAAGCCTCACGGTAATTAATTTTTAGACTACCATTTTCTTCATACCACTTACTAATAGTTGACTTTAAAATTCATCATCTTTTGGGGTTATATCAGAACTAATATTATCATTTTCCTATAGTATAGGAGTCAAGAGAGAAAGGAGAAGATGCTGAAATAGGAGCAGGCTCTAAATTATTGAAGGGATTAGGGGAAGAGGAAAAATCTTATAAGTTAAGGAGATTTCCTAGAGAGAAATGTTAACGTCAAGCATTATTGATTAGGATGTGCTGATTCAGATAAATATTTCAAGAGATTAAAACATAGGTAAATTAAGGTATTAATTCTAGGAACCATAATTTCGTAATTACTGTAAAGGATAAAATCTTTTTTTTTAATACCTAATGTTTGAAATTTCATATTAACATACAAATATTATGGAATAATATTGCTTTGATACAAGAGATCATGATTAGGTTTTAATCCTTAGTAAACTTGTAAAATGAATTAATTCAATTAAAGCAAAATTTAGCCCAAGAAAATAACAATATTTCTTTAATTTTATATTAAATAAAACACTTCCATTTCGACTTTATTATCTTCAACTATTTCAACCCTACTTTGATAATGAATTATTTACTTTTATTAATTAAAACCCAGAAGTAAATTTATAAATTCAAAGAACTTTGATATTAGGATGAACAAGAAATTTTTAGCCTTGGCTTAACATTTTACAAATGTTAATATTTTCAGATGTACGAATATATTTTGCTGTTCTCAGCATTTAAAACCAGCAATAGGCAGAATTTGTAAGAATTCATACTTATCTTAAGTTCAGATCTCTTAAGAGAAATAACAAATTCAAATCTCTAGGAGTAGTCAAATTTATATCTAACAGAATATACTAATCTTGATCTTCTATTTGACAATCTGTTTATTTTAGCTGCGCCTACTGTCCGATGAGGAAATAAAGTTTATCTCAACACAAATTTCCATCATGTTATCTTATTTTTTGGAAATGACAATAATTTTAATTATTGTGCACTCATTATCTCTTCTCTCGTTGATAGTTATACTGAAATTGTCATCTCAAAATGCAAAAATTCAAAATTTTGATGTAGCTAGACAAACACAAGTCCTACAATAGTTTAATTTATATTCTGATCATTTTCATATTATTATTGAAGGTTTTATAAGTACCAGAATAACTAAGTTTAAATTATGTCATTTTTTATTTTTTTCCAAAATCCTAATTTCTTATTGAGTTGAACTCACATTTTTAGGATTAACCCTCTAAATTGAAAATTAGCTAGCCATTTACATCAAATATATATGCATCTTTTATTAATTAAAAATTACAAGAGAGTAAAAATGCTCTCCACCTTAATATTTTAAAAGCATATTAATAAATAAATCATGATAGATTATTTTTATTACTTACACTGATTAATTATTATAAAACAATTAATTTGAAGATCTACCTATATATATATTATACATTTTCTTCTTTAAGTATTCTTCCCAAAGACTCCATTATTTCTTACTAAATATATCTAGTTTAATCGATTATATTTATTAGATCCTTAATATTGTATTAAATGCAATAAGTTATGCATCTGTTTATTGAGTCCTAGATTTAACAGATTAATCTCAACACTATAGTCGATAGCATAACTAAATAATGTTAAGCTTGAGGTATTTAAGGTACACTCTTGAGAGCGCAGACTCTATAATAAATCATCCTCTATTAATTAAATTATCATATGTGAACGTTTTTCACTTCTCACTTACATTTACTTAACTAGCAAAAAATTTTTAACATTGAATTGAATTGTAATTTAGTGGAAATAGAGAATGAAATTTGAAAAATTCCTCAATGAAATTCAAGAAGAAGGACATAGCATAGCTTAAAAAGCATCTTATTCAAACCTTATTTTTAACCATGTACAGCCTGTTGAAATTCCTCCTGATAACACAAAAATATTAAGGAAACAATTATAATACCTTTAATATCTTATTTTATTGTTATATTTCAGTTCTATTCCAAGATATTCAAAATATATGTTTACAATAGAATTATCTTGAAAATACAAAGAATTCAATGAAAATATTATAAAGTTCCCAGAATTCTTATCGCCTGATAATTTAACTAAAATAGTAAATCTTCTAGTCTGTGGCGACTTCCATTCTTGCTCACTAAAGCGGAGAAATTGATGAGCCCTACCTGCACCAATAAAAATTAAAATCACAAGATGTTTGAAGTTTTGCAATTATATTTTCAAAGGTTTTTAATATCGAAGTAGTACCTAACTTGAAAATCAGAAACTAAACCGAATAATATGATGGTAAATGCAAATTTTACAGAACTTAACAGTACAAATTGGAAAAAAGTAATTTGTCGAAAAAGGAAGAATTTTTCAATCAATTTTATTAGAATGTAATGATGGATTTGTAAATGTAAAATAGAGCCTCTCGAATGTATTGGTAAGGATGGACTTGAAATGTGCGATGATTAAGCACTTGAGTATTGATGCAATCATTTTTTTTAATTAACCCATTTCTGTTCAAATTGTTATGTTTAATATTTGTTTTAAAGTAAGATAGATTAATTCTAATTTTAGAGTATACGCTANATTATCTCTTCTCTCGTTGATAGTTATACTGAAATTGTCATCTCAAAATGCAAAAATTCAAAATTTTGATGTAGCTAGACAAACACAAGTCCTACAATAGTTTAATTTATATTCTGATCATTTTCATATTATTATTGAAGGTTTTATAAGTACCAGAATAACTAAGTTTAAATTATGTCATTTTTTATTTTTTTCCAAAATCCTAATTTCTTATTGAGTTGAACTCACATTTTTAGGATTAACCCTCTAAATTGAAAATTAGCTAGCCATTTACATCAAATATATATGCATCTTTTATTAATTAAAAATTACAAGAGAGTAAAAATGCTCTCCACCTTAATATTTTAAAAGCATATTAATAAATAAATCATGATAGATTATTTTTATTACTTACACTGATTAATTATTATAAAACAATTAATTTGAAGATCTACCTATATATATATTATACATTTTCTTCTTTAAGTATTCTTCCCAAAGACTCCATTATTTCTTACTAAATATATCTAGTTTAATCGATTATATTTATTAGATCCTTAATATTGTATTAAATGCAATAAGTTATGCATCTGTTTATTGAGTCCTAGATTTAACAGATTAATCTCAACACTATAGTCGATAGCATAACTAAATAATGTTAAGC